CCACCTATTTTTCTTTGTTTATGCTTTAGCTTTAAATCCAGATCAACATGCCAATCATCTGAATAGATGGAGAATCATCTTTTAAGTTGAAAACAACGTGTTTTTCCTGTGTCCCCATTATGTAGAAGAAGAAGTGTTCTTTCCCACCTCTGACTTCAAGGCAAGTTCCATTAGAGGTTCCATTAGAGGTTCTTAGTCATAAGGTTTTACTTTGAGAGCAAGCTCCTTAGAATCGCCCTTATTCCTCACTGGGTTCCTCTTTCTAATCTTAATTTTTTTCTATTTCAGCCTCTGACTTTTTTTTTTATAGGACCCAGCAGGTCACATCATGTATTTATATTTGCTAAGGAGCCATTAAAACAAATGCATTCATAATATTGGTTTTTTTCTTGCTTTTCTTTTCTTTCTTTGTTTCGAGACAGAGTCTCGCTCTGTCACCCTAGCTGGAGTGCAGTGGCACCATCTCGGCTCACTGCAGTCTCCATCTCCTGGCTTCAAGCAATTGTCCTGCCTTAGCCCACCAGGTAGCTGGGACTACAGGCGTGCACCGCCATGCCTAGCTAATTTTTGTATTTTTAGTAGAGATGGGGTTTCACCATATTGGGCAGGCTGATCTCAAACTCCTGACCTTGTGATCCTCCCACCTAAAGCTCCCACCTGGCCTGTTCTCAGCTTTTGTTAAAAAATTATGTTCTATGGGCTGGGCATGATGGCTCACACCTGTAATCCCAGTGCTTTGGGAGGTCAGGTGGGAAGATAACTTGAGGTCACGAGTTTTAGACCAGCCTCAGCAATGTAGCGAGACCCTCATCCCTACAAAAAATTAAGAAATTACCTGGGTGTGGTTGTGTGCACCTGTAGTCCCAGCTACAGTTGACTGAGGTGGGAGGTTCACCTGCACCTAGGAGGTTGAGGCTGCAGTGAGGTCAGGATCACACCCCCGCATTCCAGCCTGGGCGACAGTGTGATTTCTTGTCTCAAAAACAATTATATTATCTCTTTGGCTATCAACAAAGTCTGGATGCTGAACTTCGCGTCTAGATGTTTTCTCCGTTTTAGTTCTTTGCAACATAAACTCAGTCTTCACCCTTTTTCTCAACATCTTGAGTGTAAGGAAATGTGATAGTTGCTTCATGCTGCTTCTCTAACATTCGAGTTTGTAAAAATCCTCAACAGATTCTGTTAAGTGGAAGTTAATTCCTTATTTCTATTGTGCTTCCCGTGGATTTTTACCTGATTCTCTTTGAATCATAGAACATTTTTTATTGGATCTTATTGCTGTGCTTTTATATTGCTCCCACATGGCCTCATTTGTGGAGTTTATTGCCTTTGCAACTGAGGGGGGAGAGGAAGGCTGGAGGTGTGATGGCTCTCCTCCTGAAATACATGCCTATAACCCTTCAGTCCCTCCTGTTTCTCCTGTTACTGTTTCCCTCTGACAAATGGTTGAATTGGCTGCAGAAGTTACTATAAGAAAGATCTACACAAGAACCTGCTAATTTTTTTTGTTTTGTTTTGTTTTTGTTGTGTTCAGGACGGAGTGTTGCTCTTGTTGCCCAGGCTGGAGTACGATGGCATTATTTCGGTTCACTGCAACCTCCGCCTCCCAGGTTCAAGCAATTTTCCTGCTTCAACCCTCTAAGTAGCTGGGATTACAGAGATGCATCACCATGCCCAGCTAATTTTTTGTATTTTTAGTAGAAACGGGGTTTCACTATGTTGGCCAGGCTGGTCTCGAACTCCTGACCTCAGGCGACCCTCCTGCCTCGGCCTCCCAAAGTGCTGATATTACAGGTATGAGCCACCTCGCCCGGCCGAACCTGCTATTTTTATACTAATTCATTGTTCAGATTTCAGCTGCTAGTTATTTCCTCCAAGACATAGTATAGGAAGGGTGTTCGTTAGAAGAAATGCAGCATGGATATTTTTATCTGGAACGAACATTTAACCAATCCGACCTTCTTTTAAAAGAGGGAAATTTAAT